TTCTTTATGCCGCGGCAAGGTTCTGGAATCCAGTGACGCACGTTTTTAGCTTTGGCGGCCAAGAGATGTGTCCCACTTTCGAAGATTTTCAGGTTTTGATGGAGTCTGAATGCTCTGAAGTGATCTTGCCCCAGCTCCGTTTTGGCTATGCTCAGGCTTTAGGGCGGATGTGTGGGCTCACGGCGCATGATGCTCGATCTCTGATCTGCAGTGGGGAACTGGACATCCTCGGCTTGATCCATCGTTTTTCCGATGCTGGTGACCGCAGCAACCATTATTGGCAGGGTTTCCGGCAACACGCCCTCTGTTTATGTTTGTTGTCTCACTTTCTGCTTTCCTCGGGCTTCGGCGGGGCTAGCATTCGCCTGATTGAAGTCGCCCAAGGTTTGAGAGAAGGAAAGAGCTGTATTGCCATGACCTTGGCCGAGACACTGATGGGCTTAGATTCTGTCTATCGCCGGGAGGCGACTAGGTTTGCCGGGAGTCCACTGCTGTTGCAGGTAATGTTTCCCACCCGACCTCACATATATATTTGCTCACATCACTCGACCCTCAGGCTCGATTTTTTTTTTTCACAAAACCCTTGTCTTACTTTTTCTCTCATCGTACATCTCTCTGTTCTTTATTCTCTCATTTTCCATCCCTCCCCTAGGTATGGTTAATGGACAAGTTGCAGGTTGTGGACTCTTACCCGGCCTATTTAGCTCGAGGCTACTTCTTTCGGCAGCGCCTAGTCAATGCTCTTGACGAAAGGTGGTGGTTCGATTGGATGTGCAATTTGTCCACAGACGGCATTGCTTGGCGTTGTCCTTCACGTTGGCCTGCCAGGAGGACGCTGATGGCGGCATTGGTAGAGAGATGGTGGGACACCACCAACTCCTTTCATTTCTCTGCCACTAGAGATATGACCATGACGCCTCTAGACTTCGCTGTGTACAGCTTACCCCCGCAGATGATAAACTGAGCAGCCATTCTCCTGACAGATCAGACCTGCCCACCGGAGGGGATTGAGTACCCAGCCGCTTTCCCGATCCGGGGTGCACAGCTTGCACAATATACCACAGCGTGGAGGACTAGAGAGCTCCTGGCCCCTGCTTCCACTTTCAGTTGCACTTTGTCCGATGAGTGCTTGGATTGGCTCAATGAGGAGGCACAGGTTGGGCCTAGCTTGGCATCAGATGCTTCGTCCAGCTCTGGGAGGGGACGCAGAGATACTTGATTCAACTATGCCCCAAATTTATTGCTTATTTAGCGTTTTCAAGTTTTCGTTATGAATGTACTAAAAAGAAACCTCGATTGTAATGCAAGAGCAGGAGAACTTAGTTTTGAAATCAATGAAATTGACAGTTGTGGTACTGAAAATTTTCCGCTTAGGGTCCAGAAATGGTCTTAGTCGTAAAAAGATTGATTTGAACAAAGTCAACTTTTATTAAAACTTTTCAAAACTATTTTCGATGTGGATCAGAACTGGACACGCCGAAGATCTGTCACTGAGATGCACAACCCCAGATCCCTGCAACTGGAAAGTTGCCCCTAGTCTGAAACGCAGCCCAGATAGATAGTGAACACGCAGCCCACACTGATTGAAAGTTGAACACGCAAGTGTCATCCGGTTGATTATTTCCCCAGTCTTCATCTGTGTGGGCAAGACATAAGTCATCGTCTTCCCACCACATTCCGTCGGCAGCCAATAGACACCTGTCTGGCTCCGGTTTTGTTGCACTCGCAGTACTCCCTGTCCACATGCTCGCAGCATAGTGATTTCATCCATTAAAGGTTTAACAAATCTTTCCTGCTCTTGATCAATTAATCGTTGCAAAATTGGGGGAATTTCTTCCTCGCTGTTTTCATCAAAGTTTTGAAAATCCTGATTTAAGCAATAAATCAAAGGCACAGAAAAATACTCGGAAACCACATCCACATCATTCTCATTAAATATTTCCAAGCCGTCAGATTCCTCTGTTACAACAGACTCAAAAGAAAATGAAAAAGACGACCTAGACAGGACTATGGTATCCGGGTTGTCACCCCCAGGAATACCGGACTCAGACTCAGTCAGACAGGACTGTGGCATCCGGGTTATCACTCCCAGGAATACCGGACTCAGACTCAGCCGAGCTGGAATCTGATTCTGACGTACAAGATTCGGTAGAATCAGATTCCGGCTCACTACCTGACCCGGAACTGCTAGATAAAAAGCCTTCTTCATATTGCCAGATGAGAGAAGGTGCGATGGATGCATCCAAAATTGGCGCTGGGAAGTCCGTAGCTATTTCATCTCCAATCACAGAAACCGAAGAGTTATCCCCCAAGCACTCTTGGCCGATCGGAGGATCTGATAGTAGACTCGCCAGTGCTACCCCTATTTCAAGCTCTGTGCTCTCAGAATCCACTGCTTCACACTGCTCAGTCTCAGTTGGTGGGTCTGTCTGCGCT